ACTGGCTGATCTACAATGGAGATCCCACGTTGCAGCAGTTTCAAAAGGCGGACTGTGGTCACCGAGGCCCCCCTCTTTCAGAGCGTGTCCCTTCCTCCCACACCTCCTGAGCCTTTGTACAACACTGGATCCTCCTGCCAGCTCTCCCAACCCTCCCTGACGCGCGGGACAGAGGCAGGCCCTCTCCCCTGCTTCCCCCCGCTGAACCAGATTCAATTAAAAACCGAGACAGGCGCCTCTCCTCAGGTTCCCTGCACAAATTAAAGCTGTCATCTCGAAAACGAGAAGGGCTCCAGACTGCCCAATTACAGGCTCTTCGCCTGACATGCAAATAGAATAACAGTGGCAAAAATTAAAGAAACTGAAGCTGAAAAAGATGCCCCCTGACAGTCCATCAGCCTTCTCTCTCCCCCATCACTTTCAGACTCCACAAGCTTTATTGGCATGACCGATGAATTACACTGTTGACAGAGCAATAACAAATGGAAGACGTTTCCAACAAAGACACTTGTTATTACTGTGCCAATCTACCACCCCAGCTCTTTCTCCGTGTCAAAACTCGTTCATTTCCACATCTCTTCTCCCAGGTGGCGGAGCCTTCCCGCTCTGCACTCAGAGCAGTGGGGCAGCGGTGACGCAGGCGGGCTATCAAGCGAAGGTGAGCGTGGACACAGTCCTCCCGCAGAGAAGCCAGACCCTAAAGCCGCGGTTCCCCTTTGACACAGGCTTAACTGAACAGGACATCAAGTAGATAAGAGATAGCAAGCAAACCAGATTATGCAATAGATCTTCCAATATTTTACACTGTTACAGTTTCAGACTCTTAAATAGCTAACTCGGTTGCTCTTTTTTTGAATGTCAGGTGCTTGTCCTGCTTTTGTGGTCTATATCAGAGGCTTAGGAGTATGAAAGCTGCTATTTTACCTTTACAAACTTTCCCTCTATGTGTTGAAATCACTGGCTATATTATCACCGGGGGGGGAGCAAATGGTTTTTACAGCAGCAGTGTTGGTGTACAGACAGACAAAGAAAAAAAAACCGAGAGGAAAGGCAATACACATACATATTTGCATAGGAGGTCAATTGTTAAGTAACGATATGGCTACAGGTATGAATGAGAACTTAAATCTGTTGGTCTTGGTGTTGGGGAGTCGGTATCGGTGTTATGGGAGTAACTGGAAATGATTAAACAAGGGGTGGCGCTTAGCAATGCAATTGACGACACATTTTGTCAATACAGAACAGAAGACCAGAAGACAGCGGAGGAGAGGAACCAAAAACTCCTTAGTAAGGAGAGAAAAAACCTCGAGGGGCCCAAGGTCAACTGGCTGCCCAACCCCTTTGGGCATGCTAACAGTATATAATTAAAAAAAGGAAATGATGAGGAAGGACTGATGGAACAAAATCAACAATGAATCATTGGCCTTAAAATGCTTAAGGTTTCTTGAGAAAAAAAGACGCTGTTGGCCTTTTCTGAGGATCAGGTCAGTATTGGCTTCAAAATTAAGCTTGGAGTCCAGAACAGTCCCCAATTATATGCCAGTCTACATAGCAATGTCAAATCTTACGCATAAACTCTTAATTTACTGTTGGTATTTAATAGCAGCGGTAGCAATACAGAAGCTAAGCTTCGGCTTTCAGTTTCCAGGCAGTCCTATCCTGTCCTCTCTCAAGGTCAGAGTCACAGAGTCCCCTCATCTGACCAGACACTGTCTGCTGCAGTCACATTCGCTGGCTGACTAACCTGCTTTCACCCGTCTCCCCATTCCTTCTTGCTTTATCGTTTTTTATTCAATTGATTTGCCCTTTTCTGCCCTTGTTCAGTACCAGTGTCTTCTAATAAATGACAAAAAAAGAGTGACAAACAGGTAATGATTTGGCCAGGACTTTTGGCCAAAACCTTATTTCCTGTATTGCGCAGATTTTATTTCCTTGAACGAAGCACAAATTTTCAGAGACCATGTGGAGTAGAACAATTTTAAGAAGGGCACGAGAGGGCTTTCAGCTTGGAGAACAATCAAGGGGCACAGAGACACTTACTGCACACAATAGCTACAACACACAAAAGACAATATGAAAGACAAAAGCCAAAGCACAGGCAAGAGATACAGGCAGCTACCTTAAATACAGCATATCTCCCCCTCCCTGCTTTCAACCCTGCAATTAGACACTATCGCTCTGTGCCGAAAGCTGGGCGGAAAAGACAGAGAGGCAAGGAGAGAGCGAGAACGCGTTGCCTGGCAACAGGATGCGAGTGGTCCAATGGCATCCTTGCAGGAGACTTGATTGTTATTAGTTTAAACAGAGAGAGAGACAGAGAAGGGGACAGAGAGAGGGGACAGAGAGAGACGTCGACAAACGCGTTCTTTTTATTTTAAATTGGAACAAAACGGTTCACCACAAGTCAAAAACAATCATGAGATTTAAAGATGCACAAAACCCTATTTTTTAGGCCACAAATCTCCTCTTACCACAACAAAACTACACCCAATCACCCAATATTTAAACCTCCAGTTTTCCTTCATTCAGCGCTCACCTGTTGTTAACGGACCACATCCAGACATGCACAGGTCATTGGAGAATTCCGATAAATGTACTTCTGAAACGCAACAGCAGGACATCCCTCGCTTTACGAACGCCAGTAAGCCAAAAATTCTTACATCAAAAATGAATTCCCATACGTTTGTATAAATCTCTTCAATATCAAATCTGATATAGCGTTGCTTTATGTTAACTACCGCTCGTCAAAGCCTAGTTCACTTAACAGACCAATTTCCATATGTTAAAAGTTGTTTATATTGTGCAGTACTTGTGGTATTTAAAGTAGTAAACAAAACTTACTATTACACTAAAACGCATTCCTTCACCTACAATAGTAGGATCTTTTTGTTTTGTTTGTGACGAAGGAATTTTGTTCATTATTGCAAAAACTTGTTCATTTTTCAAACAATGGGTACAAATTTGCACACCTTGTTGTATCGGGGATTCATAAATGGGATTCTAGGAAATGAAGGGATGCCTGTACTGTCACAATAGCCTGGTTCTCACACGCTGTCGGCAGGAAGAACTGGCTCTACATCAGAGCGGTTTTGAACAATTGTCAGATTACATGCGCGACTGTGTTCCAAATCAATATTACACATCTGACACTTTGGAAACGAAAGCTGCTTAATATTATTGCATTCTGCTATAAAACACTGTGAATCCATGTGACACTATACTGTAGTTTCAACAAAGCCAGATAATTTGAAACATACTGGATGATTCTTAACTCCCACACGGGGATCTCACACACTTGGAGAGCCTGTTCTCTGGCCTGGTACAAATCCAGAGGCACATGAACCAGAAAGCCTGTGTCCTCACCCGCTAACCGAGATCTGTTTGACTAAATGTGATACGACCGCCAAAAAACACGCACTCTAAACATCCATTCAGCATGGATGATTCTGTCTGCTGAGATTCAAAACAAAGTAGTAAAATCAGAAAAAAAATTGGCTTTTGCTTCTCCCAAAAAATCTCAATAGAAACAGAGGCCTATCTTAGAGTGAAGAAACGTGTGACAAAACACTAAGCATAAAACAAAACGGACACAAACACAGCATTATCTGGGAGTGAGGCCTCATGGAAGAACTATTGGAAAACTGCAAAAAAAAAAGACCAACACGATCTAAGAAACTACAAACGGGAGGAAGCTGTCTGCCCCATCTTGGTCAGTGAGTACTTAGATCTAGTCGTTCTAGGGATAATGACATGGAAGGGCAGTTTGTTCCAGAGCTTGTGCAAGGATGTGCCTCTTACTTTCAGTCCTTCGTGCACTTCTCTGAAATACTCTCAATTTCCACCTGTGCCCCTGGAGGCTGGCTCCAGCGTGGAGCCTGAACGAGCTGATCTTGACCATACCTCACGGATACAGCAATCAGATGGCCACGCACATCTGTAACTGCAACACCTGCAGCTGTGCCGCACGCTCTGAGTCAGCCCCGCGCAGACCGCTGGCCGACGAGACACAAAGGCCACCGAACGGCCGTAAAATAAAAATAACCTCCTCGCACGGCACAGCACTAACTCGCTGCAGGAATTAAATGCAGGTTTCGCCCCTCATCCTCCCACGATGCTCAAACCTCAAAATGGCGCAGCGGGAAGACTGTGAGACAGATTTCCTGGGATTTTATTTTGCCGTTGTCCCATGGAAAAGCAGTGTTGATGTATAGGTATGCCTACGAATGAAAGCCTCATGCTTTGAGCTTTGCTCCCCCTAAAACGTCAGACCTCAGAGGTCTGTGATTCCGGTGAAGGATTCATCTGCTTCCCCAGGGTCCTGACAGTTCCTACCTGCGGACTAGCTCGCCGAGTAATCTGAACAAGCGGATCCACGC